CCACACACACACACACAGATGAAGAAATGGAGCCCAAGAGGACCAGTGTCTTGCCCGTGTTCCTGCTGATCACTTGGGACAAAAATCTGGAACTGGGAAACACATTGCCTGGCAAGGAACTCACCCCATGACTAAGCTATGTAGAAGAATATTTCCCCCTGCTATTTTGCTGCATGTTAGTGCAGTAGGAGAGCTAGTAAAGTGATCAAAGGCATTGCGGGCAGTAGAGTTGACAATCCTTCAGGAGGCAGAAGTAGCAGTGCTGGAGGTGGCAGGTCCCTGACCCTGAGGCCCGTTCCTGGCTGCTCCACCTGCAGCCTGCAGATCTCCAGAGGGCAGCCAAGGGTGATGGAGGCCCTGGTTGGCTGCCGCATTAAACAACTCCCCCTGCCCACATCTGTGCTCTGGAGGCCAGAGCCTTTAGATGCGTGGGGACAGCAATTTCCTCCTGCCCCTGCTTTCCTCTCTTGCTGGCTTCTCCTCTGCTTCTCTTCCCCTTCCAGGATGTCCTGATGTCCTTTTAAACCAAATGCCAAGTTTACCAACAACAACAAAAAATTGCCTCTGTGTGTGTGTGTGCATGTCTGATGTGTGTGAGAGAGTATGTGTGTATGTATCAGTGTGAGAATGTGTGTGTGTGTTTACACCATACTTTACAATTTATACGAGCCTATACCTCAACCAGGCCCAACTCTGGTGTTAGTCCCAAAAGACTTGAATGCCCATAAAAATGCTCAGGTAAATTATTTCTCAATCTGTAATTTAAGCTGGCCATCCATCATATCACCTTGAATGAGCTTTTCTCAAGATTCACCATGACTTTGACTTGTTTTTGACTGGAGCAAGAAATACTGCTGGTGAGGTAAAGAAAATTAACCCATTGCAAACTGAGTCCTGGTTTTGTGAATATTTTTTTAAATTATAATTTCTGACACTGTGGGCCCTTGCTGGCGTGTTAAGAGGATAAGGTGAAACACCTGTTATAAAGCTCCATCTGGGCTCGGCAAAGGTTGACCAGCCAGCCAGCCAGGAGGTACTGGCAGCCATTTTTGGGACTTTACAGGCCCACAGGTCAGTGGGCGGCAGAACCATGCTCAGGGCTGGTCCCCGGGAATGCTGACTTGGCCTTTTGAGGGAACCGTGTTTTCTAGCTATGGTAGGAAACTCTGGCACCCCTTCCCTCTCCCTTCCTTTTCCTGCTTTTACTGATTGTTAGCTCTCACCAGGAGTAACCGTGGCTTCTGGTTGGTGCAGGGTGTTCAACCAGAGGAGAAAAGGCTCTCGAAAGGACGGAACCCGTAACAGAGGAAATGGAGGATCCGGAACACCCAGGAGGAATAAAAGGTAAAAAAAAAAATAAAGAACGCAGAGCATAGGCAAGAAGTGCAGAGTACTGTAAAAGGATGGAGCAATACACTTCATGACTGGGGTGCAGCAGACCCCAGGAAA